CAGCATAGACCCGCGCCCGCTAAAAAGCGGAGATGCGGGGAACGGCAGAGGCACATAAGCCCGCGCCTCTTGAAAAGCAGAGCAGCGGGACGCAGAAGTACCAGCATAGACCCGCGCCCGCTAAAAAGCGGAGATGCGGGGAACGGCAGAGGCACATAAGCCCGCGCCTCTTGAAAAGCAGAGCAGCGGGACGCAGAAGTACCAGCATAGACCCGCGCCCGCTAAAAAGCGGAGATGCGGGGAACGGCAGAGGCACATAAGCCCGCGCCTCTTGAAAAGCAGAGCAGCGGGACGCAGAAGTACCAGCATAGACCCGCGCCCGCTAAAAAGCGGAGATGCGGGGAACGGCAGAGGCACATAAGCCCGCGCCTCTTGAAAAGCAGAGCAGCGGGACGCAGAAGTACCAGCATAGACCCGCGCCCGCTAAAAAGCGGAGATGCGGGGAACGGCAGAGGCACATAAGCCCGCGCCTCTTGAAAAGCAGAGCAGCGGGACGCAGAAGTACCAGCATAGACCCGCGCCTGCTGAAAAGCAGAGAAGCGGGGAAACAGCAGCATCACAGACCCGCGCCCGCCGTTTGGCGGAGAAGCGGGAACAAACAGGTACCATTACAGGTGAAGTAACAACACCAAAGCGCAGCAGCAACCAGATTACGCCACCGGAGTTGCCTTCCAGTAAGTCTGGGATCATGGCCCAGGAGCCAAGGCGGAACTGCCGGCCAGGGACAGGCGCGGGAGGCAGCCCAGCTACTCGGAGGCCCTTAAGGGCATCCGCGTAGCAGTGCTGCCTTGTGACTACCCTGATGCTGCCCTGAGCTCGGAGGACCTAACGAAGCTCCAGGATGCCATCATGGAGGAGGTCTTTAAAGGGTGGTCGCATCCGCTGGCGTTCTGTGGGGTATACTTCCGCTCGGGTATGCTCCTGGTTGATTGCAAAGAGGAGCGAACAGCAACCTGGCTAACCCAGAAGGCACCCTGTTTAGGCGGTTGGAATGGGCCCGCGTTGTGCACCAAAAGGGGTCATGACATCCCGCCAGTGCACAACATCACGGTCTTCCTCCCGAGGAGCGCTGATAAATCAGCCGAGTACGCGCTGACTTTACTCCTGGCTGGAATGAGGGCATCCATACCTCCGCGTGGAAGGTGATCTCCTGCAGCTCCGAGGACAACGGGCTCAGGCTCAATCTGGGCATTGACGAGGAGTCCTACGTCAGCATCAAGAAGGCTGGCGTCAACGTGAACTACAGGTTTAGCTTTGTCACGGTAAGACCTTGGCAACATAAGACGACAGGCAGCAAGGAGTCAGAGTCGCAAGACATGCAAGTCGACGCGGCTGCTGACTCCACCGCAGCCCAAGCGACTGAGTCGACCGAGGTCTTACCGGCTAACCTGGCACCGAACCAGACCAAGGCACCAGCCCTGATTAAGACACCAGTTCCTGCCAGCGCCTCTGGGTCAGGCGACTCCACCAGCCAGGCCGCGTATGTGCCTACCACCCAGGAACTGCTAGCAGACATCAGCAGGCTTGAGCTCGACAGGCGTAGCGAGGGCGATTTGCGGCTCTCGGATCTGGACGAGCCCGAGCTATGAGTACACCGCAATTGGCAGTAGCCCAGGTCAACCTGCACCACGCGGTGGCCGCCTCGGCGGTCATTGCGAGCAGGTTTGCCACGGAGGACCTGGGCATTGTACTGATCCAAGAGCCGTGGACCTACAGAGGCCAGGTCAGGGGCCNGGCCGTGCACCTACAGAGGCCAGGTCAGGGGCCTAAATCACAACTGTAATAAGGTAATTTGGGACCCCTCTAGTGAGAGGCCCAGAGCGTGTGTAGTGTTGAAGAAAGATATTGACTATTTCTGCATTACAGAGTTTTTAACACAGGATTTGGTAGCAGTTCAGACGACGCTGTCAATACACGGCAGAAGCACGGAGGTCGTCTTTGCTGCAGCCTATTTCGCGGGGGACAACGTCACCGTTCCACCCCTGGAGGTACAGCAGCTGGTGGAATTCTGTCGGAGGAAAAGGATTCCGATCATCCTAGGCTGNCCTTTGCTGCAGCTTATTTCGCGGGGGACAACGTCACCGTTCCACCCCTGGAGGTACAGCAGCTGGTGGAATTCTGTCGGAGGAAAAGGATTCCGATCATCCTAGGCTGCGATGCGAACGCCCACAATGTGGAGTGGGGCAGCACAGACACGAACCGTAGGGGTGAGTGCCTTCTAGAATACATTATTAGTGAAGACCTTTGCATACATAATGTCGGCCATAGTCCAACATTTGTTACTAGGGTTAGAGAGGAAGTACTTGACGTCACTCTCAGTAACGGATTGGCCAGCCCCTTGATCAGCCAGTGGCGGGTCTCACCAGAGCCCTCCCTGTCTGATCACAGGATTATCCGATTTGTACTGGGAGC